ACAAGTCGAGGTCCGTTTTACCCGACAACCCTAGGCCCTAGGACCCTAGAGGGAGCCGCTTTTGACGTGTCGAAGTTCAGGGCTCAAGGCGAGAACTGTGCATCAGGCGCTCCTCAAGCGTTAGGCTCGGGTTTGGCTCTCAGCACCTGCTACCTTTTAGGTTCTGATCCATGAAGTGCTTCCAAGCGTCCAAGCCCGACTTGTCAAAGCAGCAAGCCAGGTCCACCAGCAGCATCACGGTCTGCCGGAGCTCGTCCCATCCTAAGTTGGTCAGGCCACAAGCTCCGGACTCAGCGTTAGACTTGCGGCTTACGAACCCCTCGATTCCTTTCACGTAGGTTTCAATCACTAGAGCGCCTTGTGTTCGGCTGCGGTTTGGGCCGATATGATTGTTGCCTTTGCAAAGGGTTCCAGAGCTTTCCCTGAGCTCCCCGGCCTCAATCACTGAAGCCCTGGACCCATCAAGACGCTGCCCCAGAGCTTCAACCCCTTATCACTCCACGGCCCCAAAACAACATCCTAAAGCCCTAAAGCCTTCCAAGCCGTAAAGGATGCTCAATTACTCCGTGATGTAGGGCTTTCACCGAATACCCCCATAACAAAACCCAACATAGACGTGCCGCAATGTACAAAACCTGCTTCATGCGAGCTGCGTGAGATCTTGGCATCCAGCAGAGAGCGCTGGCCAGCCGGCAGAGCTGACATGTTCATGCCTAGGGTGCTGCAAGCTGGCAGGTTGGATGCTGCTCCACGAGTTAGCTAGGGAGCGTTTAAATGGATCTGCAAAGTCTTATAAGGAGGCACTTGTACTGAGGGTATTCTTAAAGGTGCTTGCATGTCTTGTTGGCAAATGAGGGGTCCCTTATCGAGGACCTTATGATATTGGGGCTGGACTATTCGGGCTTCTACATGATTAGGGGCGTGGTATTCTTGAACTCCTGCTTGGTGCACTGGTGCTGTAAGTTAGCCGCCCTCTTCACATGGAGCAACCGCAGAGCCAAGAGTCGAAGGTGTTTCTGGGTCCCTAGGTACTTCACTTCATCCTCGATCGGGGGGCCGAGTGTCCGAGCAGGGGTCTATGATTCTTCGCAGAAGGTTCGACTTCTTTCTCTGTCCACCCACCCCGCCCAGATCAGAAACCATACAGCTAGCCTCCAGGCTTGTGAGCGTCCGCTACTATCCTCCGCATGATGATTGTGAGGGCAAAACGACGACGTTCAATCCTGTTGAAGTTCAGTGTATGCTTCTTATCGGCTGATCCAATGTCTTCGGGTGACAGTCACAGCTGGCCACTTGCTGGTAATCGGAGTTTAAAGAGCATTGTGAAGCAACGAGCTTGGGTAAATGCTTCGCAGGCGCTGCCAGAATCGTCTAGAATGAGAACGATCTCATAGTCTTCCAAGACGACCAAGTCATTCCTCTGTTTGCGGCTTTGTGGTGCAGAAGCTTTCAAGCTTATCGCTTCGGGTTTAGGGCTTTGCCTTCGTGCATCAGGCATCCCTATATCGCAAGCATAGGTTGACCTTGAAGCACAAGAGGGGATGGGAGCCAATGATACCATGGCTATTGGATCTTCCGACACCAAAACATCCCCCACACCCCGCCCCCCGCAACACCCCCGCACCTCCCCCCCAAACAGAAAAGATGAAGCGTCGCTTCCGCGATCGTCACTTCGAAAGTGTCCAGAATACTCTGCAGCCGTGTCAGCCGATCCTGGAGGGCTAAAGTGCGATCTGCCCGAACGTTGGGGCCTTCGTATATGATCTTGAATAGAGTAGAGTAACTATTTGGGCGCCGGTAGAGGGGGGGGCGGGGGAGTGGAAAATTGCGGTATGTATGTATGTATGTATGTACGTATGTATGTGCGTATGTATGTATAAACATGGTTGGAGACCACAACGGGATGTTGCATTGGCTGGTAACTACATCCACAGTCAAGCCTAGACTAACAAAGAACCTGCGCCTGCAAAGTCAGGCGACGACACCTGAAAATCGTGGGAAATGAAGGAATCGAAGGCTCGAAGTCCCAAGCCGTAGATCTTTTGAAGCACTGAAGGCACTTGTCTCGAAAACGAGTTTCAAGGCATAAAGCCCCAATTTCGAGAAGCTATCCTAGACCTGAACCCATTTAACATTTGGCAGTTTCCGAAAATAGGGGAAACTAATAGAGCAATTTAAATAGATCCTTATTGTAACGGCCCCCAATGAGGTACTCCAGTTTTCGGAAACTCCCATCTGTGTTTAGGGCCTAAGGACTCAGTTTTGGAAACCCCCCATCCGATCCGCTCCTCTGCGGCCTCCTCCCCGCCGTTGCCCTCCTCCGGGTTGCCCATGGCGAGAGCGAGTCCAACCCCGCGGGTATGTATGCACCGATCTATCTATCTATGTGTATGTATATATATATATATATATGTGTATATATATATATGTGTATATATATATATATATATATCATTGTAAGTTGCTTGTTTGTTCATTCACTTATACTTGTATGTGCACTTGAACATGTTTGTGTATGCTTGTATCTATATACAGATGAAGAACAGCTGTATATACATAGCGAGAGGGAGATTCTGCATATATATATATATATATATATATATATATATATATACATATACAAAAATACACATATCCACACACGCGTTCTTTGAAACTTATCCTGTGACTGCGTGATGGGCCTGCGTCGCAGGAAGCTCCAAGGAGCAGGAGCAGGATATGTGACGAGAACCTCGAAACCTGTCTCATACCCTGGAGAGTGTGACTTTGTAGAAGAAGCCCTGAACTGCACACCAGCTTGACACAAACGTGTACGTACCTCTTGCTGCATCCTTCTGAAGCTCATAAGCATCCAACAGAGTCTCCCAGCAGAAGTTCGTGTCATTCGACCAGGCCATACTTCCTTCGCCTTGATTCCTGCACATTCTTGGCCCCAAATATGTCGCCTGAGCCCCGAGCGGCATCAAGCATGCGGCGAAGCTTCACCTGCTGCCGGGAGTTGCTTGGAGTCGCTGCTTCGACGAAGATTTTCGAAGGCAAGCGCTGCCCTTCTGGTGTTTGCGAAGCAAAAGTGGGGAGCTTTCTAGAGGATCCTGCAAGGTCAAAATTCCTGGGGTCTGATGCAGGGACCGTAAGGGAATGCTCTTGCCAACTATTCAAACTCCTACACTACTCGAGGCCGTTGCAAGATGTGTAAGCTGCTGGAAGCCGTAGCTTTGCTGTGCGGCCACATTGGAAAGGTGGGAGACCGGGCAGACTCTGAGTTGCAGCGGATGGAACTGCGTGAAGACACAACTGGGAGTTTCCGAAAATGGGGGACCCTAGCATAGTACCCTAAACAGCAGCAGGATCTTCTTATAAGGACCCAAAATGCATCCAAACCAAGGGACTCAAATCGAGACATCCAAACCGAGCATCCAATCAAGACATCCGAACGCTGCTCAGAGACGGAAGAAAAGGATAGGCTAACGAATAAGCCGGAGGTTGAGAGCGAGAGCTTGCGGGGTGACCCTAAGCCCAGAAGCCCTACAGCCCTAACATGCCTAAGCCACCCTAAGTGAGCGGTTTCATCCACAGGGGGCTTAACGATGAGGATAGGGTTCCATTTAGTTCCTGTCAGAGTTACTATAAGAATTAGTACAAGAATCGTAATGACCAGAATAGGCTTTAGGGGTTGCATAAAACACATGATTATAACAAGGAGCCATGGGGGGACAGTTGCAATTTCTCAAACCCCTGCATTAGAGGGATTTTTCATGCACATTCCATTCGCAGCCGCATGCAGCTGCAGCAGAGCAGCGTGCTCCGTTGAAGCGAGTGTTCCGCTCATGTGTTGTATTTCTTGCTTCCGAGCCACATACGGGTTGGGTGGTGCCAACCAAAACTGTTAGATGCCTACAAAACCCTTACAACCGTACATAGTAGACCAGCGACGCCGCGATCCCAACTTCTGAGTCTGACAAGCCAGAAACTCAATTTGAGCAGGTCTAGTGGTCTAGTGCTGGGAAGTTAGTACACCTGTCTTCTACGTTGTGCATGACACATCCCTCGAGAGTTCAGGTGCCCTGGAACCTGATATCACCGATGCCTGGGGCTTCCGTCTGACAACAGCTTGCTTCGTGCCTTTGTTGGGTTGAAGTATGTTTCTCGATGTCATGTGCACTGGCATCAGTCCAGATCTCTCAACCGATCCAGAGCCATTGTGTGCTTCATGATGCAATTAAGCACATGTAGTTTGCATGATGAACTGTGCTTTTGTTGATTCTATCTCCATCGTCGCACCCCCAAGATACATCGATCAAGATTTCTGCGGAGGCCTAAATGGCACCGCCAAACACAGTAACAACCCGACTTCACGTGCCATGCTTCCGAGGAAGCGTTCTTTATCGGAAGCTACTTCCCACCTCTGTTCACAAGTTGGAGTTCACCACGTGCATCCCAACCCCACTGAAAGAGAGCTGCGACTTGCGCAGTAATGAACAAGCAAAATTTAGTAGCTGCCTCTACACCATCAAGAGAAGTTACATAAAAAGGCACAGCGATGGAATGATTCAAGGCCTTCACGTCCGCGGACCGCGCGGAAGCACTGAGTATGGCCAAGGAGCCACAAGCTTTGCATAAGAGAAGCAGCTACTTTGCTCCTTCATGCTTTCCGAACGCAACTTCGGATGCTCTGGGCTCTGAGCTCTTGCGGACTGGCATCAAAGAGAAGCAAGGAAATGCCTCCTTGAGCCTGGAGTGTGCGAAGCGTCCCCAAACACACAAAGGGAAAACAGCCTCGCCGAGATCCCACAGAGCAACTTGCGATGTGCTCCCAACAGCCTTTCTATATGTATTTATGTATATATGTATATATGTATTTTTGTGTATATGTGTATATGTATATATGTATGTGTATATATATATATATATATATATACATATATGTATATGTATATATCGCTTTTCTCGCTTTTGGGGCACATGCTCCTGTTAGGATGCAGCCCATTGGCTTGCACTAATTAAGATGAAGTGAAACAAAGAAGACTGAAGAGATCGCTGCTGGTGGAGAGTATCTTGAGCCCTCCGTGGTAGTGCACCTGGATCCCCGGAAGCGCCGAGACGGTCTGGAGACAAAGATCAGCCGCCGGCGGCACAAGTAGGACAACTGGCACTCCAAGGAACAGGAGTCTCAAGAAGAGGCGAAGAAGGTCGGCACCAAGTGTGGCTCTGTCGAGCTCAACATGGCTTGCCGAAAGGCCAAAGTCCAGGCAGGGTGTATCCTGGAGGAGATGGATCCCCGTCAGGTCAATGACAAAGGCGACCTCGTCAAAGGGGCCCTCAAAGAAGGCGGGTTGAATCCCGTTGGCGAAGTCGGCCAAGCATTCATCGTGGGAATATTCAACGCAGCAGCAATCTCGCAAAGACAAGTGGGCACAAGTCAGTCCAGAGTGCACCCAGAACACAACATGAGCCGCCGTGAGCTGTGTCGGAGGTCCTGGCCGGACTGGAGAAGTGTCCAAAAGTCCAATGATTTGAACAGAATCCCGGTAGGTTCGAAACAACGACTGCCGGACAGCTGGGGTGGGCACTAGCCATTCGACTATGTCGGTATTGCAAATCCACTCAGCACAGTCAATCAGTCGGGGATGGCCACCCTCAGCATGCAAGAGCTCAATCCAAGACAGTGCTGTCATTCTCAGGCGGTCCGTCGGAGCACACACACATGAGAACGACAGACGTAGACGCTCCCACAATTCAACTTCTGACAGATCCTCGACGCTGGCGTCGAAGTCGATCAGCCGGAGACAGTCCCAGACTTCCGCTACTGGGCACATATCCTGATCGACGGGGGGGAGCTGAGGAAATTGACAAAGTGGACCGCTCCCCGGCAGCACAGGGCATAGTCCAGCGGCCCGGTCATCATCCTTGCGGTGTCCTACCCCTGGTTCAGCGGCGCAGGCGTGTCCCAGGGAGAGGAGTTTGGCACGGCAGAGATGGGAGTACCGAAGGTGCCTGCAAAGTCTGACATTGCTGGAGTAGGTGCGAAGGCACGCCTGACACTGCAGTCCAGGCAAGATGCCCCGCCCGGCCATTCGCCGGCCGTGGCACTTAAAGGCATGCACAGACCACTTTTGCCGGTTGGAAAAAGTGGTGCGACACAGCGCACAGCAATGGACCATGTCCTGGCGGTCGAGGGTGGAACCGAACAGGACGGCTCCTTGTCTTTGGAGCTGGTGAATGAGGAGAGCGCAGTGCCTATGATGAGCAGCTTGCCAGGCCTCAACATGGATGGCCTTAGCCTGAGCGCGTTTGAGTAAGCTCTTCCATTTACCCGGTGCGGTGTGGAGTTGATGAAGCCAGTCGGGCCAGATCGCTTCCCATGGTCTGGTCTCCGAGGAGTGGCGGACGGTCCGCCAGAGCCAATCTAAAGAAGAGCGGACAGATGCTAGCCAGTCGCCCTCCCAGTGGGCAAGAGCCCAAAGCTGGCCGAGCTTGAGACGGACGAACAGCAGCAAATGTATGAGGCGATGGATGTGCAGGAGGACTGTGATGGAAGGGAGGCCTAGGTAGGCGAGAACCTGATCCCGCCCTGCGTGAAGAGCCTGATCAAAGTCCCAGTGTGGTCTACACATGTGGCAAGCCATCCGCTCATACGCGGAGCCCAAGGAGGAGAGGGCTGTCTCGCTGAGGCTGGGCCATGTTCCCGCCCCATGAAGCAGAACTGAGAGGATGAGCGAGTTATAAAGAGTGGCTTTGGCCGATTTGGGAACAGCAGGCGATCCGAAGATCTGACGTTTCCTTTTCTGGAACGCGTCATGTGCAAGTGCAACCCGGGACCGAACCTCCCTGGCAAGGTCGCCAGTGAAGTGGATGGTTCCCCCCAAATGCCGGTAGGAAGTAACGACACGGACTCTGGCAGCAGTCCAAAGTCTCGAGGGGATCGCAATGGACGGTTCTTTGTCCCTGAAAAGTCTGGCGCGTACCCCTTTCGAACCAGCCCCAGAAGGGACTATGATGAGCTCGGTTTTCCCCCGAGCAAGGTTCGGTAGCAAGGCCCTGGACAGACATGCATCAATGAGTGCCCCTGTAACCTGCCCAGCTTTGGTAACAACCGACTCTGCTGAGTCAGACAACATCATTAATGCAAGGTCATCCATCCAAGTCGCATCGAAAATATCTATCGACTGGGAGGGACCGGCAGGAGTCTGGAAGATGGCATCACGCATGGAGTCCTGGTATGGCAGTTGGGTCGTGCATCCCATAGCTGCCATATCTTTGGACAATTCCTGGAGCACTCTGGAGAAGAGGAAGGAAAAGATGACGTCTGCACAGTTGTCGCCGGGGCGACTGCCGATACCGGTTTGGACGAGGGAGGGGCCCGCCTTGAATCGGAACCATGTGGCCTCCAAGACCTCACCCATTGCTTGGGAGAGCCATGGGCTTGCGCCACTCCCCTCAAACACAGAGCCTCCGGAGAGGTGCAGGTGAAGTTCGTGAAGAACTCCGTGCGGTAGCCGGATGGTTGTGGCTACATGTGCGATGGCCTCATCGCTCAGGCTTTCGCCTGTCAGCAATGGACGGCACACACGATAAAAGGCTTCCTGTAAATCCAGAAACAAGACTGCAAACGACCGTTTGCGAGCCCTCGCGGCCGCGACAAAGAGGCGGACTGAATGAGAGACAGCGGTCACAGGGCAGGAGGGCAGTCCCCCGAGTTGCAACGGGAAGAAGGCGATGAAAGGCTTTCCCTGTCACGGCTGATATGAGGATACCTCTGTGTGAGGTACAGACCGCTGGCGAACCTTTGCCTTTCCAGGCAGCCTCAAGGCTACCTCCTTTGAACTGCACCGGTTCAGCTAGTCGCAGGCTTGTCTTTAGCAGCAACGGATACAAGGCCTCAGACGCCGCCGCAACAGCAAAATGCAGGGCCTCACCTGGGATGCCATCCAAACCCGAAGCTCTGCCTGTCGAGGTTGCACGGAGTGCAGTTTCGAGCTCAATGCGGCTCGGCAGGTCCTCCTTGGTAATGGGGATCAGGTCGATCCCTCGGCTATTCTGGACAGCCATACAAGAAGCAGCAAGCTGGACTGGTTGGACTTTGCGGCGCCCGCAAAGTGCTGGACCCAGGTGTCTTCAACCTCCTCCGCGGTTGTGGCGGGGTTACCATCCCTCATGAGCACTAGGGGGAGGCCCTTGTGGGTCCTTGCCTTTCGCTTAGGAGGACCGAGGATGGGCTTAAGACGCCTAACAGCCTCAGCGGTGGCGCAGTGTTCAGCCTCCGCCGCAACAGTGGTGATGCGGTGCTGTACGTCATGGCGGACCGCCTGACGGAGTAGTTTGCGGGTTTGGCGCAACTCGGCCGCAAACCCCAAAAGCCGGCGGTGTCGGCCCGTGGCAAGGAGGATGTCGGAAAATTCGGCTGTGGAAAGTCGGCATCTGCGTCTCCATGCCACAAATGGTGCACGCACAGCTGGCGGAGCGAGACCCTCGCGGCAACGCAGGATCTGACGCCGCAGCCACACCCTCCTCTGACGTAGGTTCCAGGTGTGTTCACTGAAGTGGGAGGACCGGCATGGACCCCGCTTGTTGGGGAAGGCCGCAGCCAACTCCCCATTGAGGTAGTCCTCGAGGACGGCCCCATGTCGATGCACATTGGCTGTCCAGGAGTGGACATGGCTTCCCTGTCAATCCGGACTCTATGGGAGCGGCATGCTGAGGCTCTAACAAGAGCTGACACTTCGACCTGTGCCGCGTAATGGTCGGTATGTCCCTGTCCCCAGTCCAAGCCAGTCTGTACGCACGATGACTGCGGGCCTGCAATCCATGTACAGGGAATGCCAACGAAGTCGATTCTGGAACCCGATGTGCCCGAGGGGGCAACCCAGGTAAGAGAAGGCCCCTGGTGAATGTCTGGAAACGTGGCAGGCAGCCAAATGTCGTGTGACTGAAGGATCCGCTGGAGGCCGATAGGAACCGAACCTGACCCGGGGAGAACCAGTGCTCCGACACGTCCAGGGATGGAAGTGGAGAAGTGGGTATTGTAATCCCCAAGGAGGACAACCTCATGTGCCTCACTGAACCGATGTAGGCGTTCATGGAGCTGAGCCCACCATGAGTCGCGCTGTTGATCACAAGTGGTAGGCCCATGAACACAAACGAAGAGGACCTTCACCCCGCCCCGTGCAAAGCGCACAACCAGTGTTCGCGGGTCGGCGAAAACGACAATGAAGTCCCCCGGTTGGAAGTACATCCTAGAACCCTTATCGCCCAGGAAGGGGAGGACCCGACTAAACCAAAGCTCAACCCCCAAGCATCCATTCGGGGCTCTGCCCGAGCAGAAACGGATGTGAGACTGCGAGGTGATTGTGTCGTTGGCCAGCGCCCGCGTCTCTTGTAGAGCTGTCACGTGGATTTGTAGGGTATCGAGCTGTTCCCTCAGGAAGCCCGCCTTGCCCTTAAAGGATCGGCTGTCGTCTCCGGTAACAGTCGGATCATTGAGTGTCTGAACGTTGACAGTGAGGATCCTAAGTCGGAGCAGCCTAGCCTGGTCTTGCTTGTGTGCTTTTCCCGGAGCGTAGCCGAACCATGTTTGAGCCTCCCGATCAGACGGAGGTAAGGTATCGGAAAGGCGGCTGTGGTCTGAGAGGCATGGGCCACAGATCTGAGGCCATGCATGTGGTGCTGCCGTTCCAGTGCAGATCAACCACCACCATTGGGCTGAGCCGTCGCGGATGGCCTGAGCGAGTCCAGCCGCTTGGTCCGTTAGGGTGGCCTTGTGTGCTGTCCTGACCGCAAACTTGGCAACTGAGTCAGCAAGTTCGTTGCCTGGTTGGCCTTGATGGGAGTGGACATGTCCGATAGTACCCTTGAATGCAGGCTGAACGGCACAGAGTAGCTGAAGTAGAGCCCGAGCGGCTATCATGAGCGGATCTCCAGATTGGCTGCCCCAATTGCCATTGGCCTGCTGTAGAGCTGAGAGGCAGTCGGCATGATATGCCAGTGAGGGGAGGGTGCAGATCTGGGTCCCCCAGTGGCCCCAGTAAAGCGCCCAGATCAGCGCAGAATATTCCCCTGCAAGGGCATTGTGCTCGCTGGCTCCGATGGAATCTGGGGAGTGAGATGAGGTTTGGACAACTCCGGCTTGCCATCCTAGAAAGTAGCACACAGCCTCTGACCAACCAAAAGCGACGAAGGCCCAGGAGCTGCCAACCCCATCGAATGTCAACATGCCCGAGGTTGCTAGATACAGCAGGCCACGTCTCTCTGTCAACGAAAGAGCAGTGGCTGAGAAAGTCTCTGGCTGCGGGGTGGAGATCCCCGAGCTCTGGCAGGTGGTGGTGGAGCGGCCAGGAGTCACGTGTGACACATCGCATGACCTGATCAAGACTTGCACCTATGTCAACGGAAACTGTTGAGAGGTCAAACGTGGGACACTGCGGGAGGTGCTCTGCGAGATTAATCGGCCTGGGTGCACGGAGGTCCCTGCCTGCCGCCCCTCCCTGACTCTGAACCTGAATGAGGCTTCGGTCAACATCGTGGTGGCTGGGGGCATGTCGGCTGAACTCTGCCACCCCAGTGTCACCCGCACCAAGCGAGTCGCCCGCTGGCTGGTGCTCTAGCAGAGCTTCAAGCAATGTCCATGCAAGGAAGAGCGGACGATCTTCACTTTCAAGTCTGCTACACTCGAGCAGAGTGTGCCAGGTCGAATCCTTGTCAAGGGAAAGTTCCTGGATAAGGTTGTGGAAGTCATCGTCCTGGTGCAACGGAGGCCTTACTCAGTGGGGCTCTAGAGTGAAGTTTGCGGCAAGGCGTAGGCACCGGACGGGTTCCCGTACGCCCAGGGAGACGCTGTGGGTTGCGTGCACAGGAAACGACAGTGTTGTCTGTGCCACCAAGTTGAACAGCAGCGACCCCGTGTGAGCGGAGCAGAGCCTGAAGCAAGACGACTGAGCAGAGGAATGGCGCTCTGCGCAGAGCCCGAAGGCTAAAGGCCAAAAAGGCGCCAGTGAGGGCAAGCAAAGAGAAGATCAAGCAGAAAGGGTCTATCAGAGGTGTCCCCAGGTGGCCCTCTCGAAAGGGCGTGAAGCACAATTTACCCAGTTCCACATGACAGGAAGGTGGCCCCTACTTGAAGGTATACGAAACAAGAACCCTACACTGACTCTGAAGCAGTTCCCTGGTGTAGCCGCACTCCGTGATAGGTTAAGAGCATCGCTGGTCGTGGTCGGCTGGGAGCCAGGGCGTCGAGAGCCACCGGTGCCGGCATCATTCCCAATCGACGTGCCAATCGAGGCAGACCGTTGCGACGCAACAGTTGAATCCCCATCCTCGTGGGGCTCTTCAGACCCATCATCCCCATGAGGAGACTGGCCATCATCCTGGTCCGGGGGGCCATTATCTCCTTGCGAATGTGGGATGAAATGTGCTGGGAGGAATGTGAGGACTAGGACGTCTAGGTCTGCAACCCTAACATCCCGATCAACTGGGTGGACAAAGCCATCCTGCTCAAAATAACAGAGCACAAATCCCGGTGGACATCTGCCGGCATACTGTTCGTGGAGTCTTGCACCCGGCAGACTGCCATCATCGACAAGGAGGCATTCAACGCGGAGGAGCAGGGGCCTTGCATCGACAAAACAGAAAGTCCTGAGGTCATGGCTTGAACCAGCGGGCTGGTCGGGATCCAGGACGGCAAAAACATGGTCCTGGATTGCCCCTTGATGTGTATAGGCCGGAGCCAGGGGCTCTGACGGGCACAGGATGAGAGCAGTCTCGCCCACACCAGCGGCACCGGCAGCAGACAAGTCGCGGCGTAGCTGACCCCGACGGGCTGGTGTGATTGCGAAAGAAAATGCAGCAGTGGGAGCGAGGACCCAGACATGCTCACTCGTAGGCGCAGGCGGAACCCATAGAGGGTCCCAATGATCGGCTGAGTTCAACATTGCAGAGAGGGTGGTTGTGGCAAAGTGTGGATGTCTTGGGGGGACAAAGATTGCCGTGTCCCCATGGCTGATAGACACCTGGACCCCTTGCTGGATGGGCCACGGAATGTCTTTGAGGTAGACCTCTATCTCCGAGAGGGGGGAGAACCCAGCCGCTATTAGCAGTCCTTCTCTCTGCACCAAACCGGGAAGGTGGGCCGCATGAATCCGTCCTCCTGCACGGGTGCCATCCAGGATGGCGAGGGCTCCAGAGGGGTCCCATAAGGGTAAACCAACTAAGACCCCGACTCCCTCAAGCGACTGAATGGGTACATGGCCAACCCTGGGGAGGTAGCTACGGACAGCCGGATTCCTCGCAGCACTAACTGCCTCAAGCACTTCGGTGGGCGTAATGCCAATGGGAATCCTTATCCGTCATAGTGCTGTCCAAGGATGCAGAATGTCGCTTCTGCGTATGATTGTGGCATAGTCCCGACGTGAGTGGACGGAGCGCTGGAAGGGCCTTCACTCGGCTCAGCTTCAAGGCTTGTAGTCAAGATCGTCGGGTAGGCTGTGTTCCCGCCGGTCGAAATCGCTGGAGCTGAGCCGCTATCAAGTGTCTGGGCTACCGGTGGAGGATCTGCGGCGGCATCAACTGGGCCCGCATTGGTAGGCCTGTCAATAGTTGCGGGGCGCGAAGGGACGTATTCGGCAACTATGACGCTGCCTGGGTGGACAGCCGCATAGCGCTGTGAGCTGGGGTGTCCCACTAGGACAACTCGCCGGCCTTGTGGAGCATGCATGTCGAGAATGTCAAGGAGTGCCCAGGCGTCAATTCGTCCGTCTTGGAACGGGATGGCGAGCCACCCATTGTGCAGGGGACGGCAGTCCACGATGGCACAGTATGCTGCTGGATCAACGTGGTCGCACTCAACAACACCAATGATGGCACGGACTGGATGGCCATTGATCGCACAGTCCCTAGTCCTTGGGTTCGCCGGACACAGTTTGAACCCGGAGACAGGTAAGCCCAAGCAGGCAGCGATCTGATGCTTGTACCTTGTCGGACAGGTAACATCAGTTTCATGCAAGACGGTCTGGCCGTCGTAGACTAAACCATACGCGGCAACTGGACTAGGGGGAACCCTATATGGATCAGTGCTCCACCATGTTGGATTGCGGAGGCAGTCGGTAAGCATGGTTGCCTGTGTGATGGGCAGACCCCCAGGCACGACGCGCACAGTGTCGCCAGATGCAAGATGTAGCTCTGCCCCATCAGCAAGGGGGACCTGATCATCCCCAACATATACGTCAAGAGCAAGTTGGCTGGAGAGGCCGATCGCATGCAGAAGGGCAAAGCGGTCCGCGTAGGTACGACCGCAGTGTGCGAACAGTCGGCCATCAACAAGTCTAGTGTCAACGCAGATCGTTGGAGGTTGCGGTCCCCAGCTTGGCTCTGCAATGAAGACACCAATTCCAGAAACTGGCTGGGGGCGAGCAGGATGTAAAATAGGAAACCGTCTTCGGTCCTCCGTTGGTCTAGCTTCACGGACTGCTTCAAGAGCTTCGGGGGGAACCGCAGGGAGCATGAGAATGGCTTCAACCTGGAACAAAGAGTAGTCAGGTGTGGCGACGACGAAGTGGAGCCGTCGTTCCTCAGACAGGTGTAAGACTTCGTCGTATTGTCCCTCGTCGTCAGCTGCGGTAGGCTCTCTATGGTCAGTTGGAGCTGAGTATGTCCAATTGGAGCTAGTTTGATCCCCGTCACCAAAGGTGGGGAGCTGCTCCCGCCACTGGGAGACGTGACAGGAGCCCGAATCTTCAAGGAGTTTGTAAGTGCTAAACCAAGGCCAAAGATCCCAGAGAAGCCCAGGGCTAAACATGACAGGCCAAGAGTCGAAGCAGATGGAGACTCCAACAGGGTCAAGAGGATCCTGAATTTTGTGGGCAAGGTCGGTGGTGGCTTCAGGCATGGGGTCCTGGTGGGTAATTCCGTCGGGACGGCGGGGCGAACGGCTCCTATCCCGCTGACAACCACCGACTCCGTCGGTCCCAGACGATCCACTCGAGTCAGTGCATGTGGATTCAGAGTCCTCTTGCTCATCCTCCTGCTGCTGGCCCTGGAGGGCCGTGCTGCTTGGGTCAGGTGAGTTTTCAAGGAAATCTGCAATGTACTGGACTACTAGGATCCCAGCCTGTGGAACATGCACGATGGTGCCTTCTGGCCGAAGTTCGTGTCGTCCCCCCTTAATGTTGACGGCATAGCCTGGGGGCGCCTCAGTCTCGAATCTGGCACACAGACCATCAAAGTCAATTTGCCCTTGCTCCGCTAGTACCCATTCGACGTCTCGTAGGATCGGTCTAGTGTCGATGATGACTATGTGCATTCCAGTACTATTCGCATCCCCGTCAGGGCTGTTGACGCTCCGAGTGGCGACGCAGATCGCCTTGCAAGTGTGGCCGAAATGTTCGACATCCTCAACAGTAGGGCTGGACAGATGGAGGACAGTGTCTGCTGGGTGATAGCCGAGCAGTCCGGTGGCAACCCTTCGGAACTCAGAGAGGGTATGTGCCGGATTCGGCTCGTACAAGATGACTCTGGGCACACCATCATTGTATACAAGCACAGCAGACCTGACGGGTCCTGGGTACATAGGGCACGGCATAGCCCAGTGACGTTCAGAGCCCAAAAGCTCGTCGAAGGGATAAAGTGGGCCCGGCCAACGGCCGTCTGGCAAAAACGTGAGCAGGCCTCCATTTTCCGGGACTATTTCTCTGTCTGCTGGTAGAGGTCGATCGGCAAGGAAAATGTTCAGCCTGGGCTCATCAACGAGCGACACGAGGGCCAGGAGGGAGGCTCTAGAGAGTCGATCGGGCACAACTATGCTGAAAAGTCTGCCGTCGACCTGTCGGAGGTCAACTAGGACATGGCACAGAGTCGTAGCCCATTCCGGTAAGGACAGGATGCACGCGAAGCGATTGTCCGGTTGCGGTTCGACCGGAAGTAGGGTATCAAAATCGAGGGACTGGTCCTCATTCCGTGCCTCCTGGACTTCATTGAGCGCGTCATCTTGCTCGCAAAGCACCCGCAAGACTAAAGGGAGAACCTCGGCTCTGTACCTAGGCGCAAAGACAAGGAAGTGACCGTGCAGGAAAGTTGGAGGCGGCGCTCCCTGTGGCCTGTCCCTTGTGAAGGTGGCCGGTGGCGGCATGTGCTTCATCATCATAGCGGGCTGGTGGGTGTACATCCCGATGCTCATCTACCGTTCGCTGCCATGGGACTCCCTGGCGTCCACCCGGAGCCTGGTAGGGGTTACGCATGCTGAGAGCGGCGCGACTGCCTGCTGGGTCAAATGCAGACCCCTCAGGTAGGGGGGAAGCAGAGGGCTCAAAGTCGACATGGAGAACCCCTCCATTGCGGACACAGAAAGCATCGCCGGCTTTGGGAAGACCGCTGAAGACAGGTCGGTAACCCCGAGGGGGACGAAGGTCAAGGAAGTATTGCAGAGTAGCTTCCCCAACATGAGAATCCCCCGTGTAATAGAATGTGGGTTTTCTGCCGACGGGGCGGCAGTCGAGGATGATGAAAGCACCGGGGGCGACACCACAGGCCTCAGCCGGTGTTCTCTGCCGTGCTGCAATCACTCCAGAAAGAAGGGCTCCCTGATGCACAAACGGGTGAAATGTGGCTTTGTCCGGGATGCACACCATGAGCTGGTCCCGACGACAATGCAAAGCACTTGCGGCATGCAGCTCGAGATCCTCATCTGGCTGTCCTGGGTGTAAGATGTCGCGATCGACATCAGACGCAAGAATGAGCCATGAGTCAGACACTTCCTCGCTGACAATCTGCCGAATCTCAGCCAAAAGGAAACTAGGATTCCCAAGACACTCTGCTGAGGACGGGAACCAGTGAGGTCGACATTGTGTGCCGACTAGCATGTTCGATGACCTGAGCGTGCGGGAGATTCTTTTCAACGATGGCGGCATATATCGGGCCCCCAACTGCCGCAAAGTCAAAAACAATTGCGGCACGCTCAGAGTGTTCGAGCCACTGCGGTACAAGAAGAAGCGAGACATAACCTTCCTCTGGCTGTGGTTCAACAAAGTCCAGGTCGGCTGCGAAGAAGATCTTCCGGGGGCTGAGTTTATCAACAACTGTTTGTAGGAAGAGCTCTGGTGTGACCGGAACCTGGACGGGAATCTGAATCGCCTGGGAAGGGTATCCCGGTGAAAGAAGTATACACTGGACCTTAAGCGACGAACTGTCCGATGCAAGAGCCGGGACTGGTCCGTCGACCTCACCTGTTGGGGCGCTCCACGCATGAGGAAGGGGTTCAGGCTGGCTGGAGGAGGCGCTGCCCTGGGATGCTGTCCTGTGTTCAAGCCCGGGGACAGCCGAAGCCCAAAGACCCTTAGGCAACCTGATCGGAGCAGCCCCAAAACAATCCGGGCAATTAAGCAGGATGAAGCACCAAAGTAGGAGCCGATTGCCGATTGATGGCCTGCCACGTGGGCGCCCAAAATGGCGCCCAGAAGGACCTTGGCGAGCACAGTGTGCAAATGTCGTGTCAGTCGATTGTCTCGGGGAGAATCCGCGAAGACTCAACAAGGGCCTCGTCGCAGCACCTTTGCAGGGCAACCCCAAAAGGCTGCCAAGTGGTTCGTGTCTGTCCGGAATTTGTTTCCAGAGGCAAAGATACAGGGCTAACACTATCTGGAAGAGGATGGCCCTACACAACGGCACCAGAAAGTAGCCGACTGCCTCAAGAAGACCTAGGAACCACGTCTCAGCAGATGAAGAGAACCTGGGAACCCGAGGGGTGGGGGGACTAAACCAGAGAGGTCTAGAGGAATCAGGGTAGATGACAACTTCCCCGGCGGACGCCCCTGAACCACCGATACGTCTCTTAGGTGCTCGGAGAAGTTGGTCATCGACTTGCTTAGGGCATAGGAAGGGCTGACCTGAGTATGGCTCGGTCGGGAAAAATGGAGTGCAGCCAAAACTCGAGGCGCTTAAT